CTGAGCTCCATGCTGAAGGAATCCAAGGACTGCTGGTCTCCTCAATAACCCTTTCAGGAACTAAGCTTGGGGCTCAGGATAAAAAACAGGAAGACACTCCTAGAAATGATGCCACACTGCTGGGTAGAGTCAGAGAGCCCAGGAGAAGATGCAATCAGGGAGAGGATGGGAAAGAAGGAAGGGAAGTCTGGAGCAAGGGGGACCGGGTGGGAAGTGACATTCTGGGGCCACCACCCCACTGAGGTCCTTTGCTAATTTTCTGAGTTCTGAGTAAGGCAGGCAGGCTATGTATGGAGACCAGCATCCAGTAGCTTCCAAGTCAGCTGACTCATTCCAAGCATACTTGGTGAACTGGTCAACCTCCCACCAACTCAGTCTCATATACCCGAGTGCCTGAGATGCCAGGTGTCCCCAATTTCGTGAGTGGCAGTTTGCTTGAAAGAGAATGTCAATCCTTTAGGACCCCCGCTCAGTGCACAGCTGGGCCACACACCCACTGGTTGTTTTGTCCAGAGGCCGGGTTTGTTTTCTACCACACCAATCCGAGGGAAACATCTGTTTGGGATTGGAGCATGTGCTTCATGTCAAGTGATGACCTTTTACACAAACACTTCCACGGGCATCTGTGTAATGAGGACACCGTATATGTTTACCTAAGGAAAAGAACTGATCTCCTCTGGGAGATCCTTTAAAAGGGCATCCAGTTCAGTCATTAAGCGTTTTTGGAAAGTTAGGAAATGGCCAGCTCACGGCGTCCACAGCGCACAAAGGAAGTCAAAGCTGCAGCCCACTGCTGTCGGAGCTGCTTTTCCAAGCCAGCGTCTTACAGAACAGACATGGCTGAAGCCTTGTGGTTAAGACACTGTCTGCTAACCAAAAGGCCAGGAGTTCGAATCCACCAGCCGCTCCTTGGAAACCCTACAGGGCAGTTCTAGTCCGTGCTACAGGGTCGCTAGGAGTCGGAATCGAATCAATGGCAATGGGGACTGGTTCCGGAGCTGAGAAGGCAGTACTGCAAGTGGCTTGACGGGCAGCTCTGTCCCATGGGCAGGCAGCAAACTGTGTCTGCCGCGATCAACTCTCAGCCCTGGTTTCCTGTCTGTTCAGGGATATGGCCTAGGGACCTGCAGTGTGATTGATTACTCTTGTGTGGCCTTTCTAGCTGTGGTCTTGTAACTCCCACCCAGGTGACTGGGCGGGACTGTGTGATAGGGTAATTGTGGCCCACCAAAGGGTCAGTTTTGCCTTAAAAGAGAGCCAATTCTAGAGCAGAGAGGAGATTCCCCGCACCACCAAGGAAGAACAGCCAGGAGCCAGCACATCCTTTGGACCTGGAATCCCTGTGCTGAGAAGCTCCTGGACCCAGAAGACAGAGAGCAAGCTGTAGCCTGAAGATGGTGAGAAGCGGTGGCAGGAGAGACCTGACAGCAGAGGCCGGGCAGCAGGAGACAGCGGCTGGGTTTCCCGGCCAGCGGAGAGAGAAGGCTGGGCTTCCCGGCCCGCAGAGAGAGAAGGCTGCGTGCCTTCGGGCAGAAGCCAAGGGCCAGGGAGAGGCGTGCTTGTGAGCATAGGTGGGGAGAGGCTGTACGGATGGAAGAACTGTATCCTGAGTGCTCCTGAGCCTGAGTTGTAACCTGTTACTTCCCTAATAAACCCCATAATTGTGTGAGTATGGTCTGTGAGTTCTGTGTGGCCACTGCAATGAATTATCGAACCCAGCAGACAAGTAGAGAGTGCTGTGTGAGGGGCGGCAGGTGTCAGAATTGCTAAAGATAGCGGAGAGAGAAGGTGTGTCTGACTGCCACCTCATGGGAATCATGATATGGGTTCTCCATCACCCTTGTGAAGTTATAGGACGTCAGACACAGCCCCTATGTCGTTTTTACAGGACCTTACCTAGAACTTTAATTTCACTAACACTGTGCCCGGGGAGGGAATGGAGCCCTACAGACCTTGCTATTCTCCACCAAAGGCGATAATCTGACCTTGGCCAATACCCCCAAGCACCCCTGTGCCACAAAGGGAGAAGACATGGGTGAAGACCCCATAATTCCACTTCTTGGGTTCGATCCTGAGAACAGACAAATAATCTGAGATCCCTTTGAGCTGCTGGTGAAGGAGTCAAAATGAATGGATTGTAAGGCCAACACGATGCTGGTCTGTTTCCACGGAAATTTGATCCGTTGGTTTACTCGTGCTCCAATCTTCCCTGTGTGCCAGACCCCCAGCTCTCGGAGTTTACATGATAACCAGGTTAGTGGCGGCTAGGGTGGAGTCAGGGCCCAGCTCGATGGGAAATGACCCCAAATTTCTTATCAAGGAAAGTGAATTCTACCCACAGTCTCCCCACTTCAATAACCCTTCTCAGCTTGCAGCAGCAGAATGCCAAATGTAATTAGCTGTTAAGGATCTGAAGCTCCTCAATAACTTAGAACAGAGTAGATCCACTCCAGGTACCATCAGAGAACATTCCAGAACTCACTGCCCGCCCCTCCAAAATTTATCCAAAAGTTGACTGTGAGAAATAAAGCCAATGAAGCCATGTTGTCCCTCCATGCCCTGCTAATTACAATCCATCCCTTAGGGAGCCATGAACCAGCTTCTACAAGGCCAGTTCCCAGGAGACTTGCATTATCTGGATTGCACAGAAAATGGCTTTGGCACTTGCTTGCCATGCAATTATGTAACACACCCCAATGAACCTCTTTTCTGTACCCCAATAATACTCATGTCTGCTTATGGGGAAAAAGTGGGATTGGCAAATACCGAGGGAGTTCACTAGAAGGAGCTGGTTAGGATATTTTTTGAAGCACTGATTATGACTACCTAACCAAGATATGCAGATGACACAACCTTGCTTGCTGAAAGTGAAGAAGCACTTACTGATGAAGATCAAAGACCGCAGCCTTCAGTACGGATTACACCTCAGCATAAAGAAAATAAAAATCCTCACAACTGGACCAATAAGCAACATTACGATAAACAGAGAAAAGATTGAAGTTGTCAAGGGTTTCATTTTACTTGGATCCACAATCAACGCCCATGGAAGCAGCAGTCAAGAAATCAAAGGACGCATTACATTGGGCAAGTATGCTGCAAAAGACCTCTTTAAAGTGTTAAAAAGCAAAGATGTCACCCTTAAGACTAAGGTGCGCCTGACCCAAGCCATGGTATTTTCAATCGCCTCATATACACATGAAAGCTGGACAATGAATAAGGAAGACTGAAGAAGAACTGATGCCTCTGAATTATTGTGTCGCTAAAGAATATTGAATATACCGTGGACTGCCAGAAGAACAAACAAATCTGTCTTGGAAGAAGTACAGCCAGAATGCTCCTTGGAAGCAAGGATTGCAAGACTTTGTCTCACGTATTTTGGACATGTTATCAGGAGGGACCAGTCCCTGGAGAAGGACTTCATGCTTGGTAACTGAATTAGAGGGTCAGCAAAACAGAGGAAGACCCTCAAGGAGATGGATTGACACAGTGGCTGCAACAATGGGCTCAAGCATAACAAAGACTGTGAGGACAGTGCAGAACCAGGCAGTATTTTGTTCTGTTGTACACAGGTCACTATGGGTTGGAACCGACTTGATGGCACCTAACAACCCCCACCAAGAGGTTGGGATGAAAAGTAAGCAGGCATTAGTCCTCGTACAGGGATTTTCCTGTGCATACTAGTGTTACCATCTCTTTGCCTTGGCAAAAAGAAGCGAGTGTCCCACTGACAGAACCTGGGCCCAGCATGTGGGTCCATGTTGACTTGAAATGTCTAAGCAAGCAGAGCTCAGTTTCCACTGGCCAGTGAGTACTAGCAAGAAAAATATTTTGATTATACTTCTCAAAGTAACACAAAGCAGCTGGGCCAGCAATCAGACCTTTACTCTTGGGCAGGTGCTTAGGAAGAGTACACCAGGGAGGGACAGGCTCCACTGCTGGTGGAGCAGCTCTGGGGAGGGAAACCAGAAGAAATGGCCTTGCTCTGGTGTTCTGACGGACAGGAGCTGAGCGGGGGCAGGGGGAAGGGCTGGGGCACAACTCAAAAGACCTAGATGAGGCCATCCTGGAAGAAGTATGAGCCTGGTCTCAGGTGGGCCTCTGGGGACTGGGGTTATATCTCTGATTAAACCCAAAAAACCCACTGCCATCGAGTCGATTCTGACTCACAGCGACCCTATAGGACAGAGTAGAGCTGCTCCATAGAGTTTCCAAGGAGAGGCTGGTGGATTTGAACTGCCAACCTTTTGGTTATCAGCCGAGCTCTTAACCCCTGCGTCAACAGGGCTCCATATAACCTGTAGATTTCTCTATATCAAGACAGATTTACATGTAGCAAGATTCAAGGAATAGGTTGCTTTGGAACTAAAAATAACACCGTACCTTCAGATTTTTATCAAGGCTTGCTAAAAGAATTAATTGTAGGAGGCATGTCTGCATTTTTCCACCAGGAATAAAATTAATTCTGTTTTTGAATCTATCTCATATAAATCGCTAACATAACTAACATTATCAAAATAGAAGTTTCTCTCGCCTTATGAACCAGTACGTATTCTTATTTGACAATGAAGCCTGAATCGCGAATTGCATTTAATTTCCTGTTTTTGTTTTGGGCTGCTCAGGGCTGAATCCCAGGTTCAAGAGGAACTGCGTCTTTGATTCTAGATTTTCAGATGTACACACTCTTCTACCTTCCTCACGTACTATGCGCTCCTGTCTTTTTATGCACGTTTAAAAATATCCTTCTCCTGTGCCTTTCACTGTAATTCTTTGTTGAATTTGAGAGCCAATGCTCGACTGCTGGGGAGGGGAAGAGAGAGAAAGACATATGGTCTGATGGAAAGCAAGGGACACTATTATTTATCTCATGACTGAGCAGGAGACCAAATACGACTTCAACTTCAGAGACAAGAGGCTGGACTGCTGTCAGCCACCCCCCTGCCCCCCAGTGTTTACGCCGAAGTCTGCGGCTGCTAGTCGCTCCTAAAGCGCTCTGTACTCACATGCAAACTCGGGTGGTAGGTCAGTACGCCATCATCACACAGGGTGACGTACTTCTTCTTCCACTCTTTGTTCAGGGATTTGCCACTTCGCTTCAGGAGCATGCCCTGCGAGGAAAAAGGGGGCAAATATGAACCTCTGTGTAATTAAAAAAAATTAAGTGCATAAGTAAGTTTTTGAACTTTTAAAACCTTCTTATCTTTGCCACCTTAAAAAGGAAATTGTGAAGATGTTTTGATTGGTTATTTCTTCCGTGAGTGTGTGAGTGTGTGAGTGTGTGAGTGTGTGTGTGTGTGTGTGTGTGTGAGTGAGTGAGTGTGTGTGGGTGTGAAGACAGCTTGTGATGCTGGGAAATGCCAAAAGATACTTCATTAGTTCAACAAACAAAATACAAAAAAAAACCATTTGGAGTTTGAAATGAACACGTTTTTGAAGGGGTGCTGAGTCCGGTCTTTCTTCCGTGGCTGATGAGAATTTGCTGATTCCCTGCAAAGCTTTCACCTCATTTCCAAGCTGTCCTGGGTTAAGAAAGCCTTTTGGGTCTGACACATGAACCCCACACTTTTCTCTTCCCTCTTCTGGGGGTTCCATGTCTGCTTGGCTCAGTTAATTTCAACTTGAGCTACAACATCAACATCCTTTAACTGTCTTCCTCCCTTGGTCCAGTCTTCTAACCCCTGTTCACTTAAAATAGGGAAAATGGAAGACACTTCCTTTCTCTCCTCCTCGCTGTCCACTTAGGCACTTCCATGGTCCTAATGACGACTGAGAAAGCGTAAGAGGAACGTTAGTTAATTCACCTGGACTGAGGCGGTAGGGAGGTTACAAGTTCTGAAAATATCACTCGACACTATGAAGAACCAGAGTGCCTGAAAAGTCCTCTTTGGAGTTGTCACTGGCCTCCATCTAATTCTGCCACCCCTCAAGGACCACAGCGTAAGAAAAAATTGAATACGCATTTGTACGCGACCTGAGTTTACGTCCTAACTCACTACCAGTGCTGTGTTTGCTATTTACTCAGATTATACCAAATTTCACTGATATAACGGATATGAGCCAGCGTGGAATCTGACCACCATTTAAACATGGCTGCTCTGGGAAAACATTTCAAAGTTTGAAACAACTTACAAACGAACCTTTGGAAGACAATTTCTTTGCGAGTCCGTAGTATTTAAAGAAAACGCGTGGCCTAACGCAGCATGCCTTGCTTTCTTGGAATCTAAACTAACATAGATCAACGTGGCATTGCAACCAGCAAACTGGACCAAACCCACGGGACAAAGTCACCTTGTTACAAATCAAGGCAACTGCGAGCTCTGGTTGCGTGGTTGGGACCTCTGACAGAGAGGCAGCCACCATCATTAGCGATGCAATAATAAACAAGCAATAGCTTAAAACCACGAGGTTCTCCTCCCTGGTGGGACTCCTAAGATTTTGAAACTTAGCATAACAAAACCTCAAACAAGTTCTCCTACGGGCTCACATTTTTCCATCATCCATTTCAGATGGAATTCCAACAATACCAGGGGCTGGGGGTCACCCGGGTGTCACCAGAAGATCAGAGATGCTCAGAGATGCTCCGGCTTTAGAAAGCTTTGTCCCTCGGCACTCAGCGCGCAAACAAAAGCCGAGCTGGCAGCTCACACCCCTGGAGCTCGGTACAGATGGACTCAGAGAACTCCACCAACGATCTGGGGGTTACTTTCATGAGCAAACCCTACACTCATAATTACCCTCCCCCCGGCAAGGGCTCCAAAGGCTTAAGGGGGGAGAAAAGGGAAATATTCCGAATAGAAAATGACGTGAAGGATGATTTAATAGTTTTCTGGGGAACTAAATTAGATCAATTTATTCTGGTGCTGGCAAAACTTAATCTCTCAGAGGAAAAAAATCCACATCTTCATGATCTTATACAAATTCAGTGCTCGGCATTGGAGGAGAACAGCTGAGTTCGATGTACTACTCAGATGATGCCACCACCCCTCTGTCAGTCTGTTGTACTGGGGTGGCTTGCGTGTTGCTGTGATGCTAGAAATTATGCCACTGGTATTTCAAATACCAACAGGGTCACCCATGGTGGACAGGTTTCAGTGGAGCCTGCAGACTAAGACAGACAGGAAGAAAGGCCTGTGGATTTACCTCCAAACAACAGCCATAAAAACTCCAGGGATCACAATGGAATGTTGCCTGATACGGTGCTCAAAATACACAGTGGCCGCAACACGGGACTCAAGCATACCAACGATCATGAAGATGGCACAGGGCTGGGCAGCGTTTTGTTCTGCTGTACACAGGGTTGCCACGAGACAGTGCCAACTTGGCAGCAATGAACAACATTAAAATGCCGCAAAAATCAGCTGGGCCCGAAGAACGCCCTGGTGTCTGAGGAGCTATGCTACAGTACCGAAGCCACGGCCCCAGGTGGGCTTACACCCACCCCTTGAGATTGCTGCTGGAGGCTGGAGCCCCTGGGCCTCGCCCTGGTCACGCCTCACAGGTGCCCCCAAGCCAGGGCTTGGCCATGCTCATGAGCTGCCAGCTCACGGCAGAGCTGCGTCAAGTAAAGTGGCGTCTCTTGAATGGCCTGGGCGATGACACCCAACAGGCGTGTCTAAGCAGACTCATGTCCACTTTCTCAGCTGCTCCCCATAAGTGACACGGGCAGCAGAGTTACTATAAAACTTGTTGCTGTCGAGTGGATTCTGACTCATAGCGACCCTATAGGACAGAGTAGAACTGCCCCACAGGGTTTCCAAGGAGCAGCTGGTGGATTTGAACTGCCAACCTTCTGGTTAGCAGCAGAGCTCTTAACCACTGAGCCACCAGGGCTCCAGAGGTATTATGGCTGCTTGGTTAGGGATGAAGATGCCGAGGCCACAGAGGTGAAGTGACTTGTTAGCTCCTGAAGGTGCCCAAATCAGACACCCTGCCCTGTGGATTGTTGCTACCACACTAAATCAGCTGTCACTGAGTCGGCCCCAACTCATGGCAACCCCATGTGTGTCAGAGCGCAACTGTGCTTACAGGGTTTTCACGGCTGATTTTTCGGAAGTAGATCACCAGCCCTTTCTTCTGAGGGCTTCTAGGCGGACTCAAACCTTCAACCTTTCAGTTAGCAGGCGAGTGCATTAACCATCGGCACCACCCAGGGACTCCTTAACTGTACCAGGAACTTCTAGATTGGTCAGTTACCCTTTATTTAATTGGTAAATTTTTTAAAATCCACTTTGAAAATTCAACACATCATTTGTGTATATTTTAAAAAAAACCAAACCCACTGCCGTGGAGTCAATTCCAACTCACAGTGACCCTACAGGACAGAGCAGAACTGCCCCATAGAGTTTCCAAGGAGAGCCTGGTGGATTTGAACTGGCGATCTTTCGGTTAGCAGCTGTAGTACTTACCCAGTATGCCAGCAGGGTTTCCTGTGTATATTTAGTGGTGATTAATTTAATGAAAAGGGCGATCTGGTGGCACCATGGTTAAGCACTCGGCTGCTAACCGAAGGTTGGTGGTTGGAGCCCAGCAGCTGCCCTGAGGGAGAGAGATGTGGCAGTCTGCTTCCGTAAAGATTACAGCCTTGGGAACCCTATGGGGCAGTTCTGCTTTGTCCTATAAGGTCACTATGAGTCGGAATCGACTCGACAACAACAGGTTAATTTAATGAGAATTAAGTTTTACCATATTATGGAACAAATGTTTATTTCCTCAAAAAGTAGCTATCATGACATGTCAGCCTCATGGCCAAGATTTCATCACTGCAATCAAATAGCTTGTTTCTGGAGTGAGGGTCTAACATACTGATCATTTTCTCATCCAAAACAGAAGTGGATCCTACTATTTCTATACAGCCACGTGCAGTATAACGTCCATTCGGCAACGACCGACTACATATATGGCTGTGGTTCCATAAAGTTATAACAGAGCTCAGAAATCCTGACTGGAGAACGAGATGTAGCAGATTTAGGTATGTTACACTCAACCATCACGGCGATCCTCAAAAACAAAGAGAAAATTCTCCCAGCTGTGAAAGGATCGGCTCCACTGAAAGCTATAAGGCTAACAAAAATTCGAAAGGGACCTATATCAGATATGGAGAAATGGCTGATGATGTGAACTGAGGACAAAACACGGAAGTGAATCCCTCTCAGCATGTTGACAATCGCTGCCAAGGCATGAAGCTTGTTCGAGATGCTTAAAGAAAAGGCAGGACCAGAGTATGATACCGAGTTTAGGGCTAGCTCTGGGTGGTTTAAGCGCTTCAAACACCGTTTTTTGCTGCATAATGTGAAAGTGAGGGGTGAGTCTGCAAGTGCTGATGGGAAGGCAGCAGAAGAATTTGTTGAAACCTTAGATAAACTAATTGTAGAAGGAGGCTATTTTGCCCAGCCAATTTTTAATGTGGACGAAAACTCCTTATTCTGGAAGCGAATGTCTGAGAGGACCTTCATCCATAATGGGGTGTTCACACAACGTCCAAATCGCATAATGTCCTATCTCACAAAGCGTATGTATATCCTGGATGTTAAGTGACAGGTGACTGTATTTACTTCATTACCGTACGTACGCCTCTTCTGAAATAGCCACTGTTTTTGTTTATTGTTTTCTTAAAGTGAATATGATGCTTTTTAGCTAACAATTTACATGATCCTAGAAATACTTCAAACATTGTTATTCATGTTTAAAGAAGGAGAATGTACTAGTCAACCTGTTAAAAGATTTCATTATGATTTTTATGATTCTCAGAAACATGTGGCTGATCCTTAGATAATAATTCTTCAAAATGGTCTGTTTCAGGTGAGAGGATTATAGCCAAACCCTTAAGTGCTAAACTCTAAGTATGATCATTTCCCCCACTTAAGCGTCTTACTCTACCCACTGGCTCCCTGCAATCCATAAGACTCCTCATGGGTCTGGTGACCCCCTGCCTGGGCCACAGGCACCTCCATCCCCTATGGCTAATGCTCAGGTCTTTATTTCCCTGTTCCATCTCCCTTCTCGGTCAACAACCCCTGGGTCCCCAGATCAGTTAGTGACACCAGCAGACATTCCAACAAAAGCTGGGGTAATGGAGACTCTTCCCTATCCATCTCCCTTACCATCCTGT